CTCAGAATTTCAAATAACTTGAAGTGTTTTATGATTAATAGTGATGTTGTGCTTTTGGACACACTGTCCTCAGGCTCCAGCTTTATGTTTATATGTTTTTATGTTGATGTGCTATTGTTTTTAATTGATTTTATTTTATTTGTATATTTAACCTATTCTTGACTCTGTGGTTCTTGCACTTGTTTGGGGAACATGATTCTACATTTCTGCCTGAGAAATGACACCCTGATATAGTTCCGTGATCTGTGAAACAGTTATGTGAATCACTGAGGCATTGTGTGTTTGTGTGTTCTTTTTCTTTAGAATTTTCAAATAAACTTCAGGTGTTTTATGATTAATAGTGATGTTGTGCTTGTACTATTTTGGACACACTGTCCTCAGGCTCCAGCTTTATGTTTTATGTTGATAGTATTAAAACAAAGAAAACAATCTGAAGTTGTTGTTTTTAAGTTATATATACACACCATGATTTTACCGGTCCGGCCCACTTGGGAATAGATTTTCCTCCATGTGGCCCCTGAGCTAAAATGAGTTTGACACCCCTGGTTTAGTGGGTTAAATGCATGTAAAAAAAAAAAAAAAAGCATGTAAAATCACTCCTGATCTTTCTTATATATTTGACAGACATCTCAGAACAAATTAACTTTAGATTTTTTGGGGGGGACTATCTGTTGTTGTATGAAGTCAATCTGTTATTCAATGCGTTTGTATGGGCTAGTAAAAAAATTCACAATTAACCTATTTTTTTCAATTTTCACCTAAAATGGCATACCCAAATCTAACTGCCTCAGGACCTGAAGCAAGGATATGCATATTCTTGATATCATTTGAAAGGAAACACTTTGAAGTTTGTGGAAATGTGAAATTAATGTAGGAGACTATAACACATTAGATCTGGTAAAAGATCATACAAACAAAAAAACATGCTTTTTCATTTAATTTTTTCATCATCTTTGAAATGCAAGAGAAAGGCCACAATATACACTGCTCAAAAAATAAAGGGAACACTTAAACAACACAATGTAACTCCAAGTCAATCACACCTCTGTGAAATCAAACTGTCCACTTAGGAAGCAACACTGATTGACAATACATTTCACAAGCTGTTGTGCAAATGGAATAGACAACAGGTGGAAATTATAGGCAATTAGCAAGACACCCCCAATAAAGGAGTGGTTCTGCAGGTGGTGACCACAGACCACTTCTCAGTTCCTATGCTTCCTGGCTGATGTTTTGGTCACTTTTGAATGCTGGCGGTGCTTTCACTCTAGTGGTAGCATGAGACGGAGTCTACAACCCACACAAATGGCTCAGGTAGTGCAGCTCATCCAGGATGGCACATCAATGCGAGCTGTGGCAAGAAGGTTTGCTGTGTCTGTCAGCGTAGTGTCCAGAGCATGGAGGCGCTACCAGGAGACAGGCCAGTACATCAGGAGACGTGGAGGAGGCCGTAGGAGGGCAACAACCCAGCAGCAGGACCGCTACCTCCGCCTTTGTGCAAGGAGGAGCACTGCCAGAGCCCTGCAAAATGACCTCCAGCAGGCCACAAAATGTGCATGTGTCTGCTCAAACGGTCAGAAACAGACTCCATGAGGGTGGTATGAGGGCCCGACGTCCATAGGTGGGGGTTGTGCTTACAGCCCAACATCGTGCAGGACGTTTGGCATTTGCCAGAGAACACCAAGATTGGCAAATTCGCCACTGGTGCCCTGTGCTCTTCACAGATGAAAGCAGGTTCACACTGTGCACGTGACAGACGTGACAGAGTCTGGAGACGCCGTGGAGAACGTTCTGCTGCCTGCAACATCCTCCAGCATGACCGGTTTGGCGGTGGGTCAGTCATGGTGTGGGGTGGCATTTCTTTGGGTGGCCGCACAGCCCTCCATGTGCTCGTCAGAGGTAGCCTGACTGCCATTAGGTACCGAGATGAGACCCTCAGACCCCTTGTGAGACCATATGCTGGTACGGTTGGCCCTGGGTTCCTCCTAATGCAAGACAATGCTAGACCTCATGTGGCTGGAGTGTGTCAGCAGTTCCTGCAAGAGGAAGGCATTGATGCTATGGACTGGCCCGCCCGTTCCCCAGACCTGAATCCAATTGAGCACATCTGGGACATCATGTCTCGCTCCATCCACCAACGCCACGTTGCACCACAGACTGTCCAGGAGTTGGCGGATGCTTTAGTCCAGGTCTGGGAGGAGATCCCTCAGGACACCATCCGCCACCTCATCAGGAGCATGCCCAGGTGTTGTAGGGAGGTCATACAGGCACGTGGAGGCCACACACACTACTGAGCCTCATTTCGACTTGTTTTAAGGACATTACATCAAAGTTGGATCAGCCTGTAGTGTGGTTTTCCACTTTAATTTTGAGGGTGACTCCAAATCCAGACCTCCATGGGTTGATAAATTTGATTTCCATTGATAATTTTTGTGTGATTTTGTTGTCAGCACATTCAACTATGTAAAGAAAAAAGTATTTAATAAGATTATTTCATTCATTCAGATCTAGGATGTGTTATTTTAGTGTTCCCTTTATTTTTTTGAGCAGTGTATTATTGCAGTTTAGGCGGAATCTAGATTTTGGCCACTAGATGGTAGCAGTGTATGTGCAAAGTTTCAGATTTATCCAGTGAAGCATTGCAATACTGGACTATTTTGTATCAAGCCTGCCCAAATGTGCTGGATTGGTCAATTGACACATTTTCAAGTACATAACTATAGAAAACATACAAAAATGATATGGTAATACAAAATGTAATTTCACACACTCCCAGGAATGTCATACATGATGGATCAATAGCTTATACACTAACTTTCACACATCTAGATGGCCGGTGGGGTGGGTGTGGAGCCAGAGACAGCAGGGATTCAAACTGTAGATCCCAGTTCCTACATTTGAATATAAAAATGGATTTTATCAAATAAAACTATGCTACATTTTATCTCTGGGACCCTTAGGATGACAAATCAGAGCAAGATTACTGAACGCAAGTACATTATTTACCTTCAGAGGTGAATGTATCAAACCAGTTGCCGTGATACGTTTTGTTGTTGTTGTTCACTCTCCTCAAACAATAGCATGGTATTTTTTCACTGTAAATTGGACAGTGCAGTTAGATTAACAATAATTTAAGTTTAGAATGCAATTAGTTTAAATCAGCTGTGTTTGCTTGGGATGGGGAAAAAGTCTGACAATACTCTGGCCCCTGAGGACTGGAAGTGCCCGTCCCCGTTTTATACTAACACTATAATCAAAAGGCACGACTGGACAGTTTTTGTGTTATGAGAACATTTCCCGCGACCTAACGAATGTTCTGGAAACTTTCACAGAACCAATTTAGATTTTCTGGACAGTGTGCAGTATGTTCTTTTTTTGCGGACAGACGGAGGCACACTCCAACACTCAGATGCAGTATTTGTATTTAGTGAGTCCGCCAGATCAGAGGCAGTAGGGATGACAACACATCATTTTGATACGTGCAGGAATTTGACCATATTGATGTCCTGCCTGAGCATTCTAAATGTAATTAGTACTTTTGGGTGTCAGGGAAAATGTATGGGAGTAAAAAGTAAATATTTTCTTTAGGAATGTAGTGGAGAAAAAGCTAAAGTTGTCACAAATATAAACAGTAAAGTACAGACAAAAACGACTTAAGTAGTACTTAAAGTATTTTTACTTAAGTACTTTACACAACTGGAAATATCTCATTTACATAAGTATTCACACCCAAGTGAATACTTTGTAGAAGCATCTTCGACACCGATTACAGCTATGAGTCTTTCTGGGTAAGTCTCTAAGAGCTTTCTACACCAGGATTGTGCAATATTTGCCCATTATTATTAAAAAAATTATTCAAGCTCTGTCAAATTGGTTGTTGATCACTGCTAGAACACCATTTTTCAGGTCTTGCTATAGATTTTCAAGTAGATTTAAGTCAAAACTGTAACTCGGCCAATCAGGAACATTCACCGTCTTCTTGGTAAGCAACTCCAGTGTAGATTTGGCATTATGTTTTAGGTTATTGTCCTGCTGAAAAGGTGAATTAATCTCCCATTGTCTGGCTGAAAGCAGACAACCAGGTTTTCCTCTAGGATTTTGCCTGTGCTTAGATCCATTCAGTTTATTTTTTATCCTGAAAAACTCACCAGTTCTTAAAGATTACAAGCATAACCATAACATGACGCAGCCACCACTATGTTTGAAAATACGGAGAGTGGTACTCAATAATGTGTCGTATTGGATTTGCCCCAAACATAACACATTGTATTCAGGACAAAAAGTTAATTGCTTTGCTTTTTTTTTTTTACTTTAGTAATTACTTTTATTCTGTACAGGCTTCCTTCTTTTCACTCTGTCAATTAGGTTAGAATTGTGGAGTAACTACAATGTTGTTAATCCATCCTCAGTTTTCTCCTATCACAGCCATTAAAACTATTTTAAAGTCACCATTGGCCTGATCTTGAAATCCCTGAGCGGTTTCCTTCCTCTCCGGCAACGGAATTTGGAAGGACGCCTGTATCTTTGTAACGACTGGGTGTATTGACACACCATCCAAAGTGTAATTAATAACTTCACCATGCTCAAAGGGATATTCAATGTCTGCTTTTTTTAATTTTTTACCCATCTACCAATAAGTGCCCTTCTTTGCGAGGCATTGGAAAACCTCCCTGGTCTTTGAGGTTGAATCTGTGTTTGAAATTCACTGGACCTTACAGATCATTCTGTGTGGTGTACAGAGATGAGGTAGTCATTCAAAAATCATGTTAAACACTATTATTGCACACACAGAGTCCATGTAGCTTATTAATTTGTAAAAATGTCTAAAAACATAATTCCACTTTGACATTATGGGGTAGTGTGTAGGCCAGTGACCAAAAATCTAAATTGACTAACACAATAAAAAGTCAAGGGGTGTGAACACTTTATGACCAGTAGCAGGGTTATCTGGCTAGACTTCTGCATTCCTTTATTACTCCCTTAATTCCTCAATCCCCTTATCACATCTGATAGGACGCGATAGGTGAAAGCAATGTGGCAGAAACTAAGCGGCATCAACGCTTCAACTAGGGCCCATAGCACCCTATGGGCCCTGGTCAAAAGTAGAGCACTACCGTATTTTCCGCACTATAAGGCGCACCGGAGTATAAGCCGCAGCAGCTAAATTGAATGATGTGTACATACAGTGGGGGGAAAAAAGTATTTAGTCAGCCACCAATTGTGCAAGTTCTCCCACTTAAAAAGATGAGAGAGGCCTGTAATTTTCATCATAGGTACACGTCAACTATGACACACAAATTGAGAAAAAAAAATCCACAAAATAACATTGTAGGATTTTTAATGAATTTATTTGCAAATTATGGTGGAAAATAAGTATTTGGTCACCTACAAACAAGCAAGATTTCTGGCTCTCACAGACCTGTAACTTCTTCTTTAAGAGGCTCCTCTGTTCTCCACTCGTTACCTGTATTAATGGCACATGTTTGAACTTGTTATCAGTATAAAAGACACCTGTCCACAACCTCAAACAGTCACACTCCAAACTCCACTATGGCCAAGACCAAAGAGCTGTCAAAGGACACCAGAAACAAAATTGTAGACCTGCACCAGGCTGGGAAGACTGAATCTGCAATAGGTAAGCAGCTTGGTTTGAAGAAATCAACTGTGGAAGCAATTATTAGGAAATGGAAGACATACAAGACCACTGATAATCTCCCTCGATCTGGGGCTCCACGCAAGATCTCACCCCGTGGGGTCAAAACGATCACAATCCCAGAACCACACGGGGGGACCTAGTGAATGACCTGCAGAGAGCTGGGACCAAAGTAACAAAGCCTACCATCAGTAACACACTACGCCGCCAGGGACTCAAATCCTGCAGTGCGAGACGTGTCCCCCTGCTTAAGTCAGTACATGTCCAGGCCCGTCTGAAGTTTGCTAGAGTGCATTTTGATGATCCAGAAGAGGATTGGGAGAATGTCATATGGTCAGATGAAACCAAAATAGAACTTTTTGGTAAAAACTCAACTCGTCGTGTTTGGAGGACAAAGAATGCTGAGTTGCATCCAAAGAACACCATACCTACTGTGAAGCATGGGGGTGGAAACATCATGCTTTGGGGCTGTTTTTCTGCAAAGGGACCAGGATGACTGATCCGTGTAAAGGAAAGAATGAATGGGGCCATGTATCGTGAGATTTTGAGTGAAAACCTCCTTCCATCAGCAAGGGCATTGAAGATGAAACGTGGCTGGGTCTTTCAGCATGACAATGATCCCAAACACACCGCCCGGGCAACGAAGGAGTGGCTTCGTAAGAAGCATTTCAAGGTCCTGGAGTGGCCTAGCCAGTCTCCAGATCTCAACCCCATAGAAAATCTTTGGAGGGAGTTGAAAGTCTGTGTTGCCCAGCGACAGCCCCAAAACATCACTGCTCTAGAGGAGATCTGCATGGAGGAATGGGCCAAAATACCAGCAACAGTGTGTGAAAAACTTGTAAAGACTTACAGAAAACGTTTGACCTGTGTCATTGCCAACAAAGGGTATATAACAAAGTATTGAGAAACTTTTGTTATTGACCAAATACTTATTTTCCACCATAATTTGCAAATACATTCATTAAAGATCCTACAATGTGATTTTCTGGATTTTTTTTCCTCATTTTGTCTGTCATAGTTGACGTGTACCTATGATGAAAATTACAGGCCTCTCTCATATTTTTAAGTGGGAGAACTTGCACAATTGGTGGCTGACTAAATACTTTTTTCCCCCACTGTATATAAGCCGCACTGGACTATAAGCCGCAGGTGTTTTAATGTTTAATACCTAGGAGGTCTTCTAGTGGCCGTTAGCTGTAAAAATCCATAGATTAGCCGCACCGTTATATAAGCCGCAGGGTCGAAAAATGGGGAAAAAAGGCGCTGCTTATAGTCAGAAAATTACGGTACTTAAGGAATAAGGAGCCATTCGGGATGCAGTCCTGGACAGTCGTCTCGGATCAGAGAATGGGAGTAAACGTTGGCAGAAGGGAGGAGGGGGACAATTGCTACGTTTCAATTCTCTATCCTTCTCCACAAGTGTGCATTCGTTTACTCCACCTCATGCATTGTTTTGATGCAAGCATGGCTGGAGGGAGTTACCACCATATTCATCACACCAGTCCATTCCTTCTAAATCCATGAGGGGGAGTGTACAAGTGCACACTTCGGGAGTAGGGCAGAGAAACGGAATGTAGCCAACTTGTTGGAGTGAATGTGCAGCCTGGACTCACCCACTTCTCCCATCACTCTCAGGCCCTCCTGGTAGTTGGGGCCGCCGCGACGCACAAAGATGGTGACCTCATTCTCCTTCAGGGGTCCCTGGTAGTCTTTGATAGCCCTGACGATACCCTAGTGGTGGACAAGGGGAGAGCACAACATGGTAAAATATATGGATACACATGCCTTGTTCAAAGCATGGGATTAAGGCAGGCACAATGGCTAGGGATGGACGAAATCTGCAGGGTGGTTTTTCAAAATCTGCTCTTATAGAATTTTGTATATATGAAACTGTAACATGTTTTAGATTGTTTACTGGCATTATTTGGTTTGATTGAACAGATTCTAAAATGTTAGAATTTTGCCAGGAAGACTAGGCATCAGCTCATGTGGATCCAAATAGAGAACCTCTGTGTCCGAAATCGGTTTTGCCTACTACTTATTAAAACATACTGTATACTAATCCTACTATATACCATTTAGAAAGTACTGTTTAGTATAAAAGCATGAATTCAGCAACAAATAAACATACTAGGCTCACCCATACTGAAAAATCGTCATCTAAATGCTCAATTGCGTTGTTTCCCGCCCTTTGTCCATTTTGCTATAGCCCATCCTCTTATCTGATTATCAGCTGTTGTCAAACACACATGGGTCTGAAAATATGCATCTCTTCCTCAATAGTGTGCAGCAAATACTAGATGAAAAGTCTGAGTAGACTACATGACCAAAAGTACGTGGACACCTGCTCATTCCAAGATTCTGGGCATTAATATGGATTTGGTCCCCCCTTTGCTGCTATAACAGCCTCCACTCTTCTGGGAAGGCTTTCCACTAGATGTTGGAACATTGCTGCGGGGACTTGCTTCCATTCAGACACAAGAGCATTAGTGAGGTCGGGCACTGACGTTGGGCGATTAGGCCTGGCTCGCAGTCGGCATTCTAATTCATCCCAAAGGTGTTCGATGGGGTTGAGGTCAGGGCTCTGTGTAGGCCAGTACATTTCTTCCACACCTATCTCAAAAAAACATTTCTGTATGGACCTCGCTTTGTGCACGGGGGCATTGTCATGCTGAAACGGGAAAGGACCTTCCCCAAACTGTTGCCACAAAGCTGGAAGTACAGAATAGTCTAGAATGTCATTGTATGCTTTAGCGTTAAGATCAACCTTCACTGGAACTAAGGGGCCTAGCCCCAACCCATATTCGTCAGTCAGACTGCCAGATGGTGAAGCGTGATTCATCACTCCAGGAAACGCGTTTCCAATGCTCCAGAGCCGAATGGCGGCGAGCTTTACACTAATCCAGCCGACGCTTGGCGTTGCGCATGGTCATTTTAGGCTTGTGTGCAGCTGCTCAGCCATGGAAACCCATTTCATGAAGCTCCCGACTAATAGTTATTGTGCTGACATTGCTTCCAGAGGCAGTTTGGAACTCGGTAGTGAGTTTTGCAACCGAGGACAGGCAATTATTATTCGCTATGCGCTTCAGCACTCGCCGGTCCCGTTCTGTGAGCTTGTGTGGCCTACCGCTTCGTGGCTGAGCAGTTGTTGCTCCTAGACTTTTCCACTTCACAATAACAGCACTTATAGTTGACCGGGGCAGCTCTAGCAGGGCAGAAATCTGACAACCTGACTTGTTGGAAAGGTGGCATCCCATAATGGCGCCATGTTGAAAGTCACTTAGCTCTTCAGTAAGGCCATACTACTGCCAATGTTTGTCCATGGAGATTGCGTGGCTGTGTGCTCGATTTTATACACCTGCCAGCAACGGGTGTGGCTGAAATAGCCGAATCTACTAATTTTAAGGGGTGTCCACATACTTTTGTATAAATATAGAGTATGACATCCTGGCATTTAAAGCATACTCAAATGTTAGAAATGTTACATACTATAAAAGTTTATATTTTCAAATTCCCGATCAGCCTACTATTTAGAACGCAAGTACAGGTATTTCGGAAACACCCAATTAATATATTTTCGATTACAAATTACTTCAAGGGGCTCATACACATTCTGCACTCGTAGATTCTGTCTGGCCCCATCAATGACACAGCACTAGGCGAAGACCGTTATTGGGCGCCTTACTTTGAACGTGGCCGCCACGTTTGTGAAGTTAGCGATGCTTCCTCCGATGATCAGCACTTTCCCTGGCGAGGCAAAGAGAGAGAACTACGTTGTTAGTATTAATGCCGAGACTTCACGTAACAACGAACATTATCTAGTTTGACAATGCGGTAACACACTAAGAACTGAGCATGTGATAGAACTGAGTGGTGCACTGAGTTAAATAGTCAAAATAAATGGAATTTGTCTGTGTCCAAAAGTAATTTAAGTGTAACTAGTAAAAAAACTAAAAAAAGGTCAACACATTATATTGCTCCACATTTATTGATGAAGATCAATAAATGAATTAAGAAGATCCCAACTCGGATCAAAATGTTGGAATAGAGGTGGTACAGGAGCAATACAGTCTGTGGGACTTTTTGCTTCTATATGCATTGTTTTTTGTGATATAGTCCAAATGTAATATGAGCTGAATATGCCAATGTTGATTTCAAAACTATAAGAGGTGCATGTGGGCAACCCTGGCGAGCGCCCAGGTGTAGGGTGAAGTTGCCACTAGACGTTGATCTTGGGTCAGTTCTGCACGTTCCCACAAATGGTTAAGGTTATGATTGGGGTAGGGGAAGCTGAGCAAGTGCCAACCTTCGTGGTGCTTCTCTCTGGTCATGAGTGAGAGGATGGTCTTGGCGTAGTCGTAGGTCTGTTGCTCGCTTGGCGCTCCCGAATACTCCCCGTAGTTGGCCAGCTCATCCACTCCACCCAGGTCACAGATGGTGTCACTACGTTCAAGGGGTCAGAGTCAAGGACAAGTGGTTTCTTCCCAAATGGCTCCCTATTGCCTTTATAGTGCACTACTTTTGACCAGGGCCCATAGAGTAGTGCCATAAAGGCCTGATTGGTGGAGTGCTGCAGAGATGGTTGTCCTTTTGGAAGGTTCTCCCATCTCCACAGAGCAACTCGGGAGCTCTGTCAGATTGACCATCGGGTTCTTGGTCACCTCCCTGTCAACTGTGGGACCTTATATAGACAGGTGAGTGCCTTTCCAAATCATGTCCAATCAATAGAATTTTACCACAGGTGGACTCCAATCAAGTTGTAGAAACATCAAGGATGATCAATGGAAACAGGATGCACCGGAGCTCAATTTTGAGTCTCATAGCAAAGGTCTGAATACTTATGTAAATAAGGTATCTGTTTTTATTTTATTTATACATTTGCAAAAATGTCAAAAAACCTGTTTTCGTTTTGTCATTATGGGGTATTGTGTGTAGATTGAGAACATTAAAAAAAAATCCCTTTTAGAATAAGGCTGTAACGTCACAAAATGTGGAAAAATGGAATGGGACCGAATACTTTCCTAATGCACTGTATAGTGTAACCTACCAATCAATGTATATCAAGTGCCGTGGAGGGCACAATCTTACAATGGTGCAGTCCAGAAATGAGAGCATTAACATCAATGCCAAAAGCCTGGGCCTCTGATGGAGACTGTAGAACTGTCATCAACACATGCTTCAGTACTCTCCCTTCTCTCTAGGAACATTTGTGTGCCCCATAGGCGCTTCGAAAGGACTTGGATAGGAGTCCGTTAAATGACTAAAATGCAAATGTAAAATGAAAGGATCCCACCCTGATCACCAATGTAGCGGACCGATGTAGACAAACACAAGTGCCTTAGCAGAATGGAATCTAAAGCTTGTGTGGTCCAGAGACGAGAACTCTACCATCTATGGCAAAAGCCTGGGCTCCTGACGGGGACAATATAATTCTGGGAATCCTCCAACTGCATGTTAAAAATGTAAAATAATCTGCCTGTCACCTGTTAAACTGATACTACATTGAATTTAGTCTTCGAGGTGCTCAAACAAGCATGTGTATTTGTAGTTGTTGTTCTTCAACACTAAAATGCACTAGAAAAGACAACAGCCAAATGCATTTGTGGTCTCAATGTCTAAATAGTGACGGCAGGCCTAGCTCAAACTGCAGGACTTAGTGAATAGATCGTGGGCGACAAAAGAGAGAGATAATGAATAAAGATGCTCAGACAAGCCCGTGTATCTGTAGTTGGTGTTCTTCAACTCTAAAATGCACTAGACTGTTTAAGACAAACCCCAAAAAGAAAAGCCAACAGGCAAATGCATATGTGGTCCCAATGTCTAAATAGTGACAGCAGGGCTAATTCAAACTGCAGTAGGATGGTTCTCCTCACAGGTGAGTGAATCAGCCAATACTTGGTGAATCTCTGGGAGCAGGACACAGGAGAGCTGAATAGATCATGTGAGACAAAAGTGAGAGACCAGAATGAATCAAATAAATCACAGCAAAGGAATGTAGTTTGTGAGCTAGAAAATGAACATCCTGACAGTCTGAGGCAGGGTGCTCTGCCATCATCCTACTCCAACTATTGACAGGGATAATGTGGCATTTCTTATTTGTCAGTATGAATGAAGTTAGTGGGTCCTGCCTTGATTAGATTTATACTACTTGTCCTACACATTTGTCTTAAATTATTACTTGGAATAAACTGATAGCTAAAAAACAATCCTTGTCCCGGAATGAGATGCTAGCTAGTGATATTTGCTCCCGCTACCTAGCAACATATCTACTTGTTGTAACTTGCCAGCTAGCTACATTACTAAGGTTGCTGTGTTCTAAGTTGGGAGTCATTTTACAGCTTGCGTTGCTGGTATCACGTTTCTATAACGAAATAGTTAGATTACAAATAAATTAAAACTACTTAACCTAATAGCAGTTGGTCAGACAGAGATCTCTCTTGAGATGTCACTAGCTGTCTACTACCTTAGATACGGATAACGTGATCAGCAGAGATAGTACCATGGATAGTACACAAGTTTTTATTGGTTTAAAGTTTAGTACTCGGCGGTGTTTGCCTGTCCAGCTAGCGAACATAAAAGTATTTTGAAAGATGTGCACAAATTGACATGGCCAACAAATGGAAATGTGTTCCGAATAAATTTACACAACGTAAAAACCAGCACGTCCCTCGACAGAGATCGATCTCCTCGAAAACTAAAGTAGATGGCTTGCTACGGCCCACCACCTAAATTACAACCATGGGGTTGGCAGGAGCACAAACAGATCTGGAACTAGGCTAGGAACTTTGGGAACGTTTCCGTAATTTTGCAAGCCTACCTGTAGACTACGGAGGCTCCTCCACCTGCCACCATGGTCCAGATCCTTCCCAGGGGGTTCAGGATGGTGAGCTTTAGACTGGCCCCGCTCTTGGCATCCAAATCCGCGATGTAGGCCTCCTAGAATAGGTAGACAAGGATGTGTCACTAGGGCATATACCCTGTGTATCCGAGGGCAGCAGAGAAATCCTAGTCACAGGTTATTTACCCCACCAAAATCTATACAAGTTGTTAGTTCCATGGATTTCAAGTTCCCATGAAAAGAAAAAATGGATAACATGCATTTCAAGGAAATGCTGACAAATTGGACAGCCCTAGCCATCGGCCTGGAGAAACAAGCAAAACCATCAGCTGAGAGAACGGTCAGTCATTTCTGGGGCCATATGTACAATATCAAGCTTTTCATAGTAGGGGTGCAGATCTAGGATCAGGTCCTCCCTGTACATGTAATCTTATTCATTGTGATCCAAAAGGCAAAACTGGATCCTAAAATCGTCACTCCTACTCAGACGCTTGATTCAAACACTATATACAGTGGCTTGCGAAAGTATTCACCCCCCTTGGCATTTTCCCTATTTTGTTGCCTTACAACCTGGAATTAAAATTGATTTTTTGGGGGTTTGTATCATTTGATTTTACACAACATGCCTACCACTTTGAAGATGCAAAATAATTTATTGTGAAACAAACAAGAAATAACATTTAAAAAACTGAAAACTTGAACGTGGATAACTATTCACCCCCCCAAAGGCAGCAGTAATTACAGACGCAAGTCTCTTGGGGTATGTCTCTATAAGCTTGGCATATCTAGCCACTGGGATTTTTGCCCATTCTTCACGGCAAAACTGCTCCAGCTCCTTCAAGTTGGATGGGTCCCGCTGGTGTACAGCAATCTTAAGTCATACCACAGATTCTCAATTGGATTGAGGTCTGGGCTTTGACTAGGTCATTCCAAGACATTTAAATGTTTCCCCTTAAACCACTCGAGTGTTGCTTCAGCAGTATGCTTAGGGTCATTGTCCTGCTGGAAGGTGAACCTCCGTCCCAGTCTCAATTCTCTGGAAGACTGAAACAGGTTTCCCTCAAGAATTTCCCTGTATTTAGCGGCATCCATCATTCCTTCCAATTCTGACCAGTTTCCCAGTCCCTGCCGATGAAAAACATCCCCACAGCATGATGCTGCCACCACCATGGTTCACTGTGGGGATGGTGTTCCCCGGGTGAGGAGAGGTGTTGGGTTTGCGCCAGACATAGCGTTGTTGCCTCTCTGATTAATGCCCTCCTTGCCTGGTCCGTGAGTTTTGGTGGGCGGCCCTCTCTTGGCAGGTTTGTTGTAGTGCCAATATTCTTTCCATGTTTTAATAATGGATTTAATGGTGCTCCGTGAGATGTTCAAAGTTTCTGATGTTTTTTTATAACCCAACCCTGACCTGTATGGAGAGCTCCTTGGTCTTCATAGTGCCGCTTGCTTGGTGGTGCCCCTTGCGTTGTGGTGTTGCAGACTCTGGGGCCTTTCAGAACAGGTGTATATATACACTGAGATCATATGACACTTAAAGTCCACCTGTGTGCAATCTATTTACCTAATTATGTGACTTCTGAAGGTAATTGGTTGCACCAGATCTTATTTAGGGGCATCATAGCAAAGGGGGTGAATACACATTCACGCACCCCTTTTCCGTTATTTATTTTTTAGAATCATTTGAAACAAGTTATATTTTTCATTTCACCTCACCAATTTGGACTATTTTCTGCATGTCCATTACATGAAATCCAAATAAAAATCCATAAAAAATTACAGGTTGCAATGCAACAAAATAGGAAAAACGCCAAGGGGATGAATACTTTTGCAAGGCACTGCAAAAGGTTTACATACACCTTAGCCAAATACATTTAAACTCAGTTTTTCACAATTCCTGACATTTAATCCTAGTAAAAATTCCCTGTTTTAGGTCAGTTAGGATCACCACTTTATTTTAAGAATGTGAAATGTCAGAATAATAGTAGAGAGAAAGATGTATTTCAGCTTTTATTTCTTTCAACACATTCCCAGTGGGTCAGAAGTTTACATACACTCAATTAGTATTTGGTAGCAATTAGTATTTGGTAGCATTGCCTTTAAATTGTTTAACTTGGATAAAACGTGTTGGGTAGCCTTCCACAAGCTTCCAACAATAAGTTGGGTGAATTTAGGCCCATTACTCCTGACAGAGCTGGTGTAACTGAGTCAGGTTTGTAGGCCTCCTTGCTCGCACACGCTTTTTCAGTTCTGCCCACAAATTTTCCATAGGATTGAGGTCAGGGCTTTGTGAAGGCCACTCCAATACCTTGACTTCGTTGTCCTTAAGTCATTTTGCCACAACTTTGGAAGTATGCTTTGGGTCATTATCCATTTGGAAGACCCATTTGCGACCAAGCTTTAACTTCCTGACTGATGTCTTGAGATGTTGCTTCAATATATCCACATAATTTTCCTTCCTCATGATGCCATCTATTTTGTGAATTGAACATGCTGCTGCCACCCCTGTGCTTCACGGTTGGGATGGTGTTCTTCGGCTTTCCCCCAAACATAACGATGGTCATTGCGCCATCGTTATGTTTGGATCTAGTGGCACAGGATCAGGATCTAGTGGCACAGTTGAGTGGCCACTAGAGTGGCGCAGTGGTCTAAGTGGCGCAGTGGTCTAAGGCACTGCATCGCAGTGCTAACTGTGCCACTAGATCCTGGTTCGAATCCAGGCTCTGTCGCAGCCGGCCGCGACCGGGAGACTCATGGGCGGCGCACAATTGGCCCAGCGTCGTCCAGGGTAGAGGAGGGAATGGCCGGCAGGGATGTAGCTCAGTTGATAGAGCATGGCGTTTGCAACGCCAGGGTTGTGGGTTCGATTCCCACGGGGGGCCAGTATAAAAAAAAAAATGTATTCACTAACTGTAAGTCGCTCTGGATAAGAGCGTCTGCTAAATGACTAAAATGTAAATGTAAATGTCATTATGGCCAAGCAGTTCTATTTTTGTTTCATCAGACCAGAGGACATTTCTCCAAAAAGTACGATCTTTGTCCCCATGTGCAGTTGCAAACCGTAGTCTGGCTTTTTTATGGCGGTTTTGGAGCAGTGGCTTCTTCCTTGCTGAGCGGCCTTTCAAGTTATGTCGATATAGAACTCGGTTTATTGTGGATATAGATACTTTTGTACCTGTTTCCTCCAGCATCTTCACAAAGTACCTTCTTCTCTAGGAGACAGAACTTGTCTCCGTCCTGAGCGGTACGACGGCTGCGTGGTCCCATGGTGTTTATACTTGCGTACTATTGTTTGCACAGATGAACGTGGTACCTTCAGGCGTTTGGAAATTGCTCCCAAGGATGAACCAGACCTGTGGAGGTCTACACTTTTTTTTCTGAGGTCTTGGCTGATTTCTTTTGATTTTCACATGTTGTCAAGCAAAGAGGCACGGAGTTTGAAGGTAGGCCTTGAAATACATCCACAGGTACACCTCCAATTGACTCAAATGATGTCAATTAGCCCATCAGAAGCTTCTAAAGCCATTACATTAAATTTCTGACCCACTGGAATTGTGATACAGGGAATTATACGTGAAATAATCTGTCTAAACAATTGTTGGAAACGCACAAAGTAGATGTCTTAACCGACTTGCCAAAACTATAGTTTGTTAACAAGAAATTTGTGGAGTGGTTGAAAAACAAGTTTTAATGACTCCAAACTAAGTGTATGTAAACTTCCGACTTCAACTGTGTATATATACAGCTCTGGAAAAAATTAAGAGGCCACTGCAAATTTTTCTTAAATCAGCATCTCTACATGTATGACAGCCATTCCATTCCAGTGTCTGTTGAATTCCAACACAGGCACACCTCATTCTACTGAATTAGGTACTGATTAGGTGATCACCTGAACCAAATCTTATTTAACGGGGAAAAGTATAAAGACCACTGCTGTGGTCATCACTATCCTCTTGCAATAGGACCAGTTGGATGGCAAAAACAGTGCTAATAGTACCTCAAAAGTAATATCAATCAAAAAATAACTATTGACCATGCCAAAAGAGTTGAAAGGGAACGTTTTGAGTGAGGAAAAGAAAGGTTCAATTCTGGCTTTACTGGCAGAGAGATACAGTGAGCGTCAGCTTGCTTCCATCCTTAAAATGTCAAAGACGGCGGTTCATAAGAACAAGGTCAAGCAGCAGACATTGGGGACAACAAAGCTACAGACCGGCAGATGGCGAAAACGACTCTCTACTGACCGGGATGACCGCCAACTAATTTGAATGTCACTCAACAACCGTAGGATGACATCAAGTGACCTACAAAAAGAATGGAAAACGGCAGCTGGGGTGAAGTGCACGGCGAGAACGGTTCGAAACAGGCTCCTAGGGGCAGGTCTGAAGTTGTGCAAAGCTAGAAAAAAGCCCTTAATCAATGAGAAGCAAAGAAGAGCCAGGCTGAGGTTTGCAAAAGACCATAAGGATTGGGCCGTAGAGGACTGGAGTAAGGTCATCTTCTCTGATGAGTCCAATTTTCAGCTTTTCCCAACACCTGGGCGTCTAATGGTTAGACGGAGACCTGGAGAGGCCTACAAGCCACAGTGTCTCGCACCCACTGTGAAATTTGGTGGAGGATTGGTGATGATCTGGGGGTGCTTCAGCAAGGCTGGAATCGGGCAGATGTCTTTGTGAAGGACGCATGAATCAAGCCACGTACAAGGTTGTCCTGGAAGAAATGTTTTATAAATTGATTTGCATTTTAATGAGGGAAATACGTATTTGACCCCTCTGCAAAACATGACTTAGTACTTGGTGGCAAAACCCTTGTTGGCAATCACAGAGGTCAGACGTTTCTTGTAGTTGGCCACCAGGTTTGCACACATCTCAGGAGGGATTTTGTCCTACTCCTCTTTGCAGATCTTCTCCAAGTCATTAAGGTTGAGGCTGACGTTTGGCAACTCGAACCTTCAGCTCCCTCCACAGATTTGCTATGGGATTAAGGTCTGGAGACTGGCTAGGCCACTCCAGGACCTTAATGTGCCTCTTCTTGAGCCACTCCTTTGTTGCCTTGGCCGTGTGTTTTGGGTCATTGTCATGCTGGAATACCCATCCACCATTTTCAATGCCCTGGCTGAGGGAAGGAGGTTCTCACCCAAGATTTGACGGTACAAGGCCCCGTCTATCGTCCATTTGATGCGGTGAAGTTGTCCTGTCCCCTTAGCAGAAAAACACCCCCAAAGCACAATGTTTCCACCTCCATGTTTGATGGTGGGGATGGTGTTCTTGGGGTCATAGGCAGCATTCCTCCTCCTCCAAACATGGCGAGTTGAGTTGATGCCAAAGAGCTCCATTTTGGTCTCATCTGACCACAACACTTTCACCCAGTTCTCCTCTGAATCATTCAGATGTTCATTGGCAAACTTCAGACGGGCCTGTATATGTGCTTTCTTGAGCAGGGGGACCTTGCGGGCGCTGCAGGATTTCAGTCTGTCACGGCGTAGTGTGTTACCAATTGTTTTCTTGGTGACTATGGTCCCAGCTGCCTTGAGATCATTGACAAGATCCTCCCGTGTAGTTCTGGGCTGATTCCTCACCGTTCTCATGATCCTTGCAACTCCACGAGGTGAGATCTTGCATGGAGCCCCAGGCCGAGGGAGATTGACAGTTCTTTTGTGTTTCTTCCATTTGCGAATAATCGCACCAACTGTTGTCACCTTCTCACCAAGCTGCTTGGCGATGGTCTTGTGGCCCATTCCAGCCTTGTGTAGGTCTACAATCTTGTCCCTGACATCCTTGGAGAGATCTTTGGTCTTGGCCATGGTGGAGAGTTTGGAATCTGATTGATTGATTGCTTCTGTGGACAGGTGTCTTTTATACAGGTAACAAACTGAGATTAGGAGCACTCCCTTTAAGAGTGTGCTCCTAATCTCAGCTCGTTATCTGTATAAAAAGACACCTGGGAGACAGAAATCTTTCTGATTGAGAGGGGGTCAAATACTTATTTCCCTCATTATAATGCAAATCAATTTATGACATGCGTCTTTCTAGATTTTTTTGTTGTTTTCTGTCTCACTGTTCAAATAAACCTACCATTAAAATTATAGACTGATCATTTCTTTGTCAGTGGGCAAACGTACAAAATCAGCAGGGGATCAAATACTTTTTCCCCCTCACTGTACATATCTAGTCCCTCTCATTCCAACTCACCTCGGGGTAGGCTTCTCTCCCAAAGGGTGGGGGGAACTCCACGTCACCCCACTTGGCCTTGCAGATATATTCGGCCGTGGCATCAATTTTGGCTGCCATGTCGAGGATGAACACGCCATCTTGGGTGACCACTGGAGAGAAAAAGAAATGGCATGATACATAAATGGAGAGTTGAAGACAACAGCTGATTTGCATTGAGAAATTAAAAGTGAGTGGTACTGCTGAGCCATTGTTGTGGGAGCTTGGTTGTAAAAGCCTGGCTTTTTAGGGCATTTTCACATAATTCAAGCAGGTCCAGATTTCATTTGCATTTCATATACTTTATACCACAGTGATAAAACATAAAAATAAACGAGTTACATATGGGGATATTATTTGACGATATATTGTATCGATAATATTTTTGTGCTAGTTTGCTGTACCTGCACCAAAGCTCCATTATTTTTCCTAAATACAGTGCCTTCAGAAAGTATTCACACCCTTTGACGTTTCCCACATTTTGTTGTGTTAGACTGAATTTAAAATGGATTAAATTGAGATTTTATGTCAATGCCCTACACACAATACCCCATAATGTCAAAGTAGAATTATGTTTTTCAAAATGTTTACAAATGAATTACAAATGAAAAGCTAAAATGTCTTGAGTCAATAAGTATTCAACCCCTTTGTTATGGCAAATCTAAGTTCAGGAGTAAAAATGTGTTTAACAAGTCACTTAAGAAGTTGCAAGGACAATAGTGTTTAACATGATTTTTGAATGACTACCTCATCTCTGTTCACTACCCATACAATTATCTGTAAAAAAAAACTAAAAACAAAGAAGATATTGAATATCCCTTTGAGCATGTTGAAGTAATTAAACTTTGGATGGTGCATTAACACACCCAGTCACTACAAAGATACATGCGTCCTTCCTAACTCAGTTGCCGGAAAGGAAGGAAATCGCTTAGCGATTTCCCCATGAGGCCAATGGTGACTTTAAAACAGTTACAGAGTTTAATGGCTGAGATAGGACAAAACTGAGGATGGATCAACAACATTGTAGGTAATCATAACATAATTGACAGAGTGAAAAGAAGAAAACCTGTACAGATTAAAAATATTCCAAAACATGCATCCTGTTTGCAACAAGGCACTAAAGTAATACTGCAAAAAATGTGGCAAAGCAATTAACTCTGTCCTGAATACAAAGTGTTATTGCATTTGCCCCAGAAATACAACACATTACAGAGTACCACTCACCATATTTTCAAGGATAGTGGTGGCTGCATCATGTTATGGGTATGCTTGTGATCGTTAAGGACTGGGGAGTTTTTCTGAATAAAAAAATTAACGTAATGGAGCTAAGCACAGGCAAAATCCTAAAGGAACCTGGTTCAGTCTGCTTTCCACCAGACAGTGGGATATGAATTCACCTTTCAGCAGGACAATAACCTAAAACAAGGCCGAGTATACACTGGAGAAGATCGTAAATGTTCCTGAATGGCCGAGTTACAGTTGACTTAAATATTTTGCAAGACCTGAAAATGGTTGTCTAGCAATGATTAACAACCAATTTGCCAGAGCTTGAAGAATTTTGAAATGTTGCACAATCCAGGTGTGGAAAGCTCTTAGAGACTCACCCAGAAAGACTCACAGCTGTAATAGCTACCAAAAGTGCTTCTACAAAGTATTGACTCAGGGGTGTAAATACTTACAGTGGGGAGAACAAGTATTTGATAACCTGCAAAATCGGCAGTGTTTCCTACTTACAAAGCATGTAGAGGTCTGTACTTTTTATCATAGGTACACTTCAACAGTGAGAGATGAAATCTAAAACAAAAATCCAGAACATCACGTTGTATGATTTTTAAGTAATTAATTTGCATTTTATTGCATGACATAAGTATTTGATCACCTACCAACCAGTAAGAATTCCAGGCTCTCACAGACCTGTTAGTTTTTCTTAAAGAAGCCCTCCTGTTCTCCACTCATTACCTGTATTAACTGCACCCGTTTGAACTCGTTACCTGTATAAAAGACACCTGTCCACACACTCAATCAAACAGACTCCAACCTCTCCACAATGGCCAAGACCAGAGAGCTGTGTAAGGACATCAGGGATACAATTGTAGACCTGCACAAGGCTGGGATGGGCTACAGGACAATAGGCAAGCAGCTTGGTGAGAAGGCAACAACTGTTGGCACAATTATTAGAAAATTGAAGAAGTTCAAGAGGACGGTCAATCACCCTCGGTCTGGGGCTCCATGCAAGATCTCACCTCGTGGGGCATCAATGATCATGAGGAAGGTGAGGGATCAGCCCAGAACTACACGGCAGGAACTGGTCAATGACCTGAAGAGAGCTGGGACCACAGTCTCAAAGAAAACCATTACGCCGTCATGGATTAAAATCCTGCAGCGCACACAAGGTCCCCCTGCTCAAGCCAGCGCATGTCCAGGCCCGTCTGAAGTTTGCCAATGACCATCTGGATGATCCAGAGGAGGAATGGGAGAAGGTCATGTGGTCTGATGAGACAAAAATAGAGCTTTTTGGTCTAAACTCCACTCGCCGTGTTTGGAGGAAGAAGAAGGATGAGTACAACCCCAAGAACACCATCCCAACCGTGAAGCATGGAGGTGGAAACATCATTCTTTGGGGATGCTTTTCTGCAAAGGGGACAGGACGACTGCACCGTATTGAGGGGAGGATGGATGGGGCCATATATCGCGAGGTCTTGGCCAACAACCTCCTTCCCTCAGTAAGAGCATTGAAGATTGGTCGTGGCTGGGTCTTCCAGCATGACAACGACCCGAAACAGACAGCCAGGGCAACTAAGGAGTGGCTCCGTAAGAAGCATCTCAAGGTCCTGGAGTGGCCTAGCCAGTCTCCAGACCTGAACCCAATAGAAAATCTTTGGAGGGAGCTAAAAGTCCGTATTGCCCAGCGACAGCCCCAAAACCTGAAGGATCTGGAGAAGGTCTGTATGGAGGAGTGGCCCAAAATCCCTGCTGCAGTGTGTGCAAACCTGGTCAAGACCTACAGGAAACGTATGATCTCTGTAATTGCAAACAAAGGTTTCTGTACCAAATATTAAGTTCTGCTTTTCTGATGTATCAAATACTTATGTCATGCAATAAAATGCAAATTAATTACTTAAAAATCATACAATGTGATTTTCTGGATATTTGTTTTAGATTCCGTCTCTCACAGTTGAAGTGTAACTATGATAACAATTACAGACCTCTACATGCTTTCTAAGTAGGAAAACCTGAAAAATCGGCAGTGTATCAAATACTTGTTCTCCCCACTGTATGTAAATGAGATATTTCGGCATTTAGTTTTCAATAAATTTGCTGACATTTCTAAAAACATGTTTTCACTTTGTCATTATGGGATGGGGTATTGTGTGTAGATGGGTGAGAGAGAAAAAATAATATTTAATCAATTTTGAATTCAGGCTGTAACAACAAAATGTGGATTAAGTCATTGGGTATGAATACTTTTTGAAGGCACTGTAGGTTGTTCTCCATCTCTTTTTAAATAGGGAGACAATTTGTTTTCAGCAATTTTATTTCCATGACTGATCAAAAATAGTTCTCATGGCTCTGGCTTGTCCCTCTGCAGCCGGCATATGGTGAGCAGTATGTTTGGAACATCGAATCGCAATAAAATCACAGTACCGAATTGCAACACGTAACATACTGGCACCTAAGTATCGTTATAATATCGTCTCGTGAGGTCTCTGGCAATTCCCAGCCCTAGTACAAAAAGCTCCAGGATCCGGACCATACAGGGACATATGAAAGCATCCTTAATTAAACGTCCAAGTAAAATAGCCTTAGTAAAACAAGTGTACTTACCCAGTGGGTTGATCTCCAGGTAAGTGAAGTAAAGGTCCTCATACAGGTTAAAGAGACCCACAACAAAACTGGCCAGGACCCTGCATACAACAAACAAACATCAACAGTTTAGATCAGAGGACAGCCATCTTGGAAAACTGCATATAAGACCAAATGGTAAAGCGTACACAAGATAAGTCTTTTTTTATTGGGGTTTTAAAATATATAATAATAAACTATCTAAACATTCCTAAAGGTTTTCACATTAGCAGGAAATAAAAGAATGGAGTGAGATTAATATGAAAATGGAAACAACTTGTATTAACCTACTCCCTATTACAATATAACGGTTAGAACATCTGTCGCAATGGCACTCTATTCCCTATAAATCAGGGGTATTCAACTCTTACCCTACGAGGTCCGGAGCCTGCTGGTTCTGTTCTACCTGATAATTAATTGCACACACCTGGTGTTCCAGGTCTATAGTAAATCAATGCCTGATTAGAGGGGAAGAATGAACAAATATAAAAAGCAGTGGAACTTGCTTCTAGGTCCAGAGTTGAATTTGAGGGCCCTATATAGTGCACTACTTCTGAACAGAGCCCTATCGGCCCTGGTCAAAAGTAGTGCACTATATATGGAATATTGTGCCATTTGGGATGCACACACTGAGTTTACAGAATACTAGACAGACAATCATCACTTGAACTTCTGGAACCCCCCAGGGTGAAACAGTGAGCTACTCACCACACCGACAAGACAAGCGTCCCAAATGGTACCCTATTCCCTACATAGTGCACTACTTTTGACCAGGGCCCATAGGTCAAAAGTAGTGCACTATATTGTGGACACAGCGCAATGACCTTGGATGAGTCCTAAATGGCACTCCATACCCTATATAGTGCACTACTTAGGGAATAGCGGTGCAGATTGGGACGTATCCAAGTTAATTTCACTGTATCCACTGTCCAGCCTAATGGGGAGTGCATGGCCTGTAAACACTATAAATAACTGAGACGTTTGTAATTGAGTCAGACTCTACTTGTCATGGGTGGGAAAGTGGAGAAAGAGGGAAATGTTAAGTACTCCCACTAGTTCACCACAGAATGACACCGAATGTTGAGGGGGACACCATAATACCGTGAAGTGATCTAGTGAAATCACTAAACCTCGAGTCACAGTCAAATTCCAAGCACTGTAACTGTTATAACCACAAATAGATGCTAAGTGGCATAACAAAATCCAAGTCCAGGCACTTGTGTGGGTTTGAAATAAAAAGCCTTTAACGTGTGGCCTAATTAGTAAGTCATTATTAAAATACACCAATGCGTATCGGTTAATGCTTTCATCAGGGCGTCTCAATACCTAGAATTGTAGCCTGAGTCCTTCATACTCAAGTCCAAGTACAGTCGCGAGTCCCTTGGTATTGCTAAAAGATGCGGTCCAACAAACTTTGAAGCAACATCTCGTAACATCGAAAGCGAAATGGCTTGGTGATGAACATTGCAGGTTCCTCGTTCTACTGAGACTTTTTAAAGGGGTTGTGACTCAGGAGGTTTCAGTGCATGTACAGTACCAGTCAAAGGTTTGGACACCTACTCATTCAAGGGTTTTTCTTTATTGTTTACCATTTTCTATATTGTAGAATAATAGTCATCAAAACTATGAAATAACACATATGGAATCATGTAGTAACCAACAAAGTGTTAAACAAATATTATATTTTAAATTTGAGATGCTTCAAATAGCCACCCTTTGCCTTAATGACAGCTTTGCACACTCTTGTCAGTCTCTCAACAAGCTTCATGAGGTAGTCACCTGGAATGCATTTCAATTAACAGGTGTACCTTCATTAAAGTTAATTTGTGGAATTGATTTCCGTCTTAATGCGTTTGAGCCAATCAGTTGTGTTGTGACAAGGTGGGGCGGGGGGGGTATACAGAAGATGGTCTTTTACCAAATAGGGCTAAGTCCATATTATAGCAAGAACAGCTCAAATAGGCAAAGAGAAAACAACAGTCCATCATTACTTTAAGACATGAAGTTTCAATCAATACAGAAGATTAATAACTTTGAACGTTTCTTCAAGTGCAGTCGCAAAATCCATCAAGCGCTATGATAAAACTGGCTCTCATGAGGACCGCCACAGGAAAGGAAGACCCAGAGTTACCTCTGCTGCAGAGGATAAGTTCATTAGAGAGTTACCAGCCTCAGAAATTGCAGCCCAAATAAATGCTTCAGAGTTCAAGTAACAGACACATCTCAACAACTGTTCAGAAGGGACTGTGTGAATCAGGCCTTCATGGTCGAATTGCTGCAAAGAAACCACTACTGAAGGACACCAATAAGAAGAAGAGACCTGCTTGGGCCAAGAAACACGAGCAATGGACATTAAATGTGTCAAAATTTGAGATTTTTGGTTCAAATCGCTGTCTTTGTGAGATTTGGTGTGGGTGAACGGATGATCTCAGCATGTGTAGTTCCCACCCTAAAGCATGGAGGAGGTGTTATGGTGTGGGGGTGCTTTGCTTGTGACACTGTCTGATTTATTTAGAATTCAAGGCATACTTATCCAGCATGGCTACCACAACATTCTGCAGCGATACGCCATCCAATCTGGTTTGGGCTTAGTGGGACTATCATTTGATTTTCAACAGGACAATGACCCAACCCACCTACAGGCTGTGTAAGGGCTATTTTACCAAGAAGGAGAGTGATGGAGTGCTGCATCAGATGACCTGGCCTCCACAATCCCCGGACCTTAACCCAATTGAGATGATTTGGGATGAGCCGGACAGCAGAGTGAAGGAAAAGCAGCCAACAAGTGCTCAGCATATGTGGGAACTCCTTCAAGACTATTGGAAAAGCATTCCAGGTGAAGTTGGTTGATAGAATGCCAAGAGTGTGCAAAGCTGTCATCCAAGGCAAATGGTGGCTATTTTAAGAATCTCAAATATAAAATATATTTTGATTTGTTTAACACTTCTTTTGGTTACTACATGATTCCATATGTGTTATTTCATAGTTTTGATGTCTTCACTATTATTATACAATGTAAAAAATAGTAAAAATAAAGAAAAACTGCAGCTGAAAGCAAAGGTTGGGGAGAGGACAGACTTTCTCAATGCAAGCAAAAAAAACAAAAATGCACAATCAGCCTCCCTCCTTGTTTTATGTGGCATCGGCAGTTGAGCGTATGCTATCTGTGAACATTGGTGATCGGATCTTTCACACCATAAATATTGTGAAGCTTAAAAAAATGTGTGCTGGAGAAAAGAAAAGGGACTAAACTCTGTAACCCCTGTATAGCTTTTTCTTTAAAGCAGGGGTGTCAAACTCAATTCCGTGAGGGCAGAGTGTCTGCGGGTTTTCGCACCTCCCATGTATGTGATTGATCAATTAAGGTCATTGATTTGTTAGGAACTCCCCTCACCTGGTTGTCTAGGTTATAACTGGGCAAAACCATCAGGGAAATAACACTGCCCTCCAGCGATTGAGTTTGACACCCCTGACCTACGGCTCTCGGTCACTTACTCTTTCTTGTTGCCCGGCACGTGCGTGAGGAGCTGCTCCTCGACAGTGTCCTCGCTCAGCTTGTCGTCCACTCCCACCAGCAGCCTCTGGGCCTTGGCGTCCACGTCCCCCACATCAATGCCTCCCTCGTGGTGGAAGAGCACGTGGTCTCCCTCTCGGGTGGCGTAGATGCATATGTAGAACTCTTCCTCCTGCAGAGCACAAAAGGAGGGGTAGTAAGGGATGGAATAAAAGTTAGAGGTAGATTGTTTTGATAGTTATATTACAGTGCATTCATTAAGTATTCAGACCCCTTGACTTTTTCCACATTGTTACATTACAGCCTTATTCTAAAATGGATTCCGTTTTTTTTCTTCTTCTCCTGATCAATCTACACACAATACCCCATAATGACAAAGCAAAAACAGGTTTACATTTTTTTGTTGCAAAAAAAATAAATATACAAACTGAAATATGACATTTACATAAGTATTCAGACCCTTTACTCAGCACTTTGTTGAAGCACCTTTGGCAGCGATTACAGCCTCGAGTCTTATTGGGTATGACGCTACAAGCGTCGCACACCTGTATTTGGGGAGTTTCTCCCATTCTTTTCTGCATATCCACTCAAGCTCGGTCAGGTTGGATGGGGAGCGTCGCTGCACAGCTATTTTCAGGTCTCTCCAGAGATGTTCGATCGGGTTCAAGTTCAGTCTCTTGCTGGGCCACTCAAGGACATTCAGAGACTTGTCCCAAAGCCACTCGTGCGTTGTCTTGGCTGTGTGCTTAGGGCCGTTGTCCTGTTGGAAGGTGAACCTTTGCCCCAGTCTGAGGTCCTAAGCGCTCTGCAGCAGGTTTTCATCAAGGATCTCTCTGTACTTTCGCTCCGTTCACTTTCCCTTAATCCTGACTAGTCTCCCAGTCCCTGCCGCTGAAAAACATCCCCACAGCATGATGCTGCCACCACCATGATTCACCGTAGGGATGGTGCCATGTTTCCTCCAGACGTGACGCTTGGCAATCAGGCCAAAGAGTTCAATCTTGGTTTCATCAGACCAGAGAATCTTGTTTCACATGTCTGAGAGTCCTTTAGGTGGCTTCCGTCTGGCCACTCTACCATAAAGGCCTGACTGGTGGAGTTCTGCAGAGATGGTTGTCCTTCTGGAAGGTTCTCCCATCTCCACAGACGAACTCTGGAGCTCTGTCAGAGTGACCATCTCTGGTCACCTCCCTACCAAGGCCCTTCTCCCCCAAATGCTCAGTTTGGCTGGGTGGCCAGCTCTAGGAAGAGTCTTGGTGGTTCCAAACTTCTTCCATTTAAGAATGATGGAGGCCAATGTGTTCTTGTAGACCTTCAATGCTGCAGAAATGTTTTGATAACCTTCCCCAGATCTGTGCCTTGACACAATCCTGTCTCGGAGCTCTATGGACAATTCCTTCGACCTCATGGCTTGGTTTTTGCTCTGACATGCACTGTCAACTGTGGGACCTTATATAGACAGGTGTATGCCTTTGCAAATCATGTCCAATTAATTGAATTTACCACAGGTGGACTCCAATCAAGTTGTAGTAACATCTCAAGGATGATCAATGGAAACAGGATGCACCTCAGCTCAATTTCAAGTCTCAAAGCAAAGTATCTGAATACTTAAGTAAATAAGGTATTTATGTTTTTTAAATACATTTGCAAACATTTCAAAAGCTGTTTTCACTTTGTCATTATGGGGTATTGTGTGTAGATTGATGAGGAAAAGTGTTTATTTAATCAATTTTAGAACAAAATGTGGAAAAAGGGAAGGAGTCTTAATACTTTCCGAATGCACTGTATATTGATATTGGCCAATCCACGTACAGCTACCCCTCCTCATAGGTAGGACATTCAAGACAACCTCACACAAATTACCTGTGTATGTGCAACAAACGGTTCAATGAGAAAGTTCTTCAGGATGCCTTTCGCTTTTGCCACCTGGTGAGAAACAGTAAAATAGATTAATTCAACATTTAGTTTAGTATTATTCTGTGGCAAAGGGATATGAAGCTGTCTGAGGGAATTGTATTTTCACATTATGAAGCACTGTGGAAAAGCAACATACTCAATTGTGGAAAATCATGATTCTGCATAAATGCTCTATTCTGCAGAAAAATGCTATTAATGATCCATTCTGCTGAAAAGCTGGCCCTAGAAAGAAGTGCAGTAAAATCAAAAAGAGCATCGGCCCTAATAAGGTTGTTTTGGCCGTACTAGCCTCCTGACATTGGCATTACATAACCTCTGACCCCTTGCTTCAGGGGTTCTAAACATAACTCTGAGCCCTCCGGTCATGGCAGTAGAGAGACAGATGGCAACAAGTACTGTCTGGCACTTGGTGAACATGCCGCAGTTCACAAACCAGGGTCGTATTCATTAGTGCACACCATAGGACAGGGTTCCCCAACTGTTGGTCCACGGGTGATTTTATTTGCCCCCCAAGAGTTTATAATTGTTGGACATATGACTGTAAAAACACCAGCAAATCAGCTCCAAATGATTTTAATTTTGGAGAATCTGTTCCAAAGTATTCCCACGCATAATATGTGATCGTATACAAATGTAAGCAAGGTTTTAAAATTATTATGTTTTAGTCAAACATATCCGTTTGGGCTTCTTGCGGTCAATTTGCAGTCTATTAATTATTTGTAATTAAGTTCCAGCCCCCTAACCATCCGTTCAAGAAGAAAAAAATAACCGTCCCGTGGCTGAATCTAGTTGATGATCCGTGCCATAGGAAAACAGTCAGAATACGACTCGGGTCCCTAAAACCTGGTCTCCCTAACTTGCTCCCTCCGAGTTAAATCAGACAGGCTCATTGTAAGGAATTTTGAAAGTTCCTATCCTTTCCTCTTTAGAAGGTGAAAAGAGGAAGGCCTGTGGTCTGGACACTGTGGACAAAGAGTCTGAAGACTGGTTTTCTGACACAGTTGACACAATCCACGACACAGTTGACCGCAGCTTGACAATACTGTGGTCACGTTGTGAAGAACTCAGGGAACAGTGTAACTCGGCGGCATATTGCATAACTCGTGGTTGAGCTGTGATGAGCAGTGTGTCGTGGATTAGCAGCCCCTGAAAAAGGCACCCGTCCGCATGCCACACATTCACAGCATTAACAAGCCCAGAGCAGCACACTGTCGGGGAAGGGGAACCTGCCAATGAGCAGAGAGCATTGTTCCCTCAAGCACCGCCATCTCACTACTACCTCTGCAGCTCTGATGGACAGCTAGATAAGAAAAGCAGGCCTAGTTCCATTCTTGTTTGGAGATCTGAACAAGCAGGATGGGAGGAAGCAAAATGGAGATGATGGCTCCATGCCAGGTCTCCCTGGAAAACAGTGGCAAGTGTTATTGGAGTGGACTATCCTGGCTAAATAGATTTTTTAAAGGCTACACTAAGCACTACAATGGCTAGGCCTATAGATTAAAGTCAAATTGCTTTCACCCATCCAGCCTTTTTAATTCTGCGAACATCAAGGCTGTATACTAGGTGTACAAACACGCTCCAGCTCTCCCACAAACTCCTGTAACTTTCTAACTCCTGCAGCAGGCACCCACCTCCACCAGTGTCAAATTGGCTGCAGCTATACACTTTGTGGATCCAAGCCAAGGAAAAAACAGGGAACCTGGCAGTGGAGTTTCTGTTTACGAAGTTGAGGGAGGAGTAGGGTGAAGTTGCTCCTACATGCTGATCTGGGGTCAGTTTGGTTAAGGTTAGGATTGGGGAAGGGAAAGCTGATCATAGATCTGTAACTAGGGGAAACTTCACACTGGAGAATGCATGCATACAGAAAGAGACAGCGAGAGCGTGAGCAAGAAGAGAGAGAAACACAGAGAGCTACCAATCAACTCACGGAGGTCTCTCTCATGAGGCGGGGCTTGAGCCACTCCCGCACGCCCACCAGGTCCAGGTCAACGCCCACCAGGCCCAGCTTCCCTCTGCCCTTGATCAGCTGGTCTGGCTTCACCACCAATCGCTGTAGGGGGAATGGACAACACCAATGTTAGCATGACAACAGCACACAGGGGATTGTTTCTCTGTCTTTTGTGCCTGGACTTGTCTACCGTTCACCCGGTGATTGTAAATATATTGGTTGTGTGATAGGGTTGTCACGAAACCAGTGTAGGAATGCTCAAAAGTATAATAGCAAGCAAACAAAACATTAAGCCAAAATCATTTGAGGAAAAAAGCACTAGATAGTTACAAGATGGCGCTGACAGACACCGTCACCCTGTTTCTTGCTCGTAGCCAACTTTGCAGGATTTCATTTTTTTTTTTGGCACTATTTCAGAACCTTTCTTGTACCTACAGCCAAGAATAACTTTGGGATATTAGATCGCTGGTCACTCATCAGAAATTCGACTTCCCTGACCTGGATCCTTTGTTTGAACTTCCAGAGGCAGCTCTATTCATCCCGGGGGCTGCACCAAAACGCTGACGCACAAGAAGAGGAAGTAGTGGGGCCCTTGTCAGAATCCGGCGGCGTGCATACAATCCACCGCTTCAGAGTATATTACTCACTTACGTTCAGTCCCTTGACAATGTAGATGAGCTCAGGGCGAGGATCTCCTTCCAGAGAGACATCAGGGACTGTAACATACTCCGTTTTACAGAATCATGGCTCTCTCCGGATATATTGTCCCAGTCCATTCAGCCAGCGGTGTTCTCCGTCCATCGCGGGGACAGGAAAGAACTCTCCGGGAAAAAGAAAGGCGGAGGGGTTTGTTTCATGATTAACTGATTGTGGTAACGTACAAGAACTCAAGTCCCTTTGTTCTCCAGATCTGGAATACCTTCATTACCTCGCAAGATAACTTTATTTAGTCATCGACGTAAAATACTACCGAAATTCTAACAACACATCTCCTGTGCTACACATCATGGACCCTGGATCATACCTACTCTCCTTTCCTGGACGGCTGAAAGGCCCTCCCTTCTGCAAATCAGATCACGCCACTAAAGGAAGCACTCATGGTAAGGACTGTTCAACGTTGGTCTGACCAATCGGAATCTATGCTTCAAGATTGTTTTGATCAAGCGGACTGGGAAATGTACCGGGTCGCATCAGAATAGTATCGACGTATACACTGACTCAGTGACTGGGTTCATCAGGAAATGTATAAAAGGATATTGTTCCCACTGTGACGATTTGAACTTACCCTAACCAAAAGCAGTGGATAGATGGCATCATTTGCGCAACACTGAAAGTGCGAACCACCGCATTTAGCCATGGCAAGGTGACTGGGAACATGGACGTGTACAAACAAACCAGCTAGGACTCCTAAGGCAATCAAATGACAGTACAGGGACAAAGTGGAGTCGCAATTCAACGGCTCAGAGACGAAATGCATGTGGCAGGGACTCCAGAAAATCACAGCTTATAAAGCGAAAGCCAGCTACATCGCACACACAGACGCCGAACTCCCAGACAAGCTAAACACCTACGCCTGCTTCAAAGAAAACCTCGAGCCGCCGACGGAGAGCATCCTGTCGGGCTGTATCAACACCTGGTATGGCAATTGCACCATCTGGCTCTCTAGAGGGTGGTGCGGTCAGCTCAACATGTCACCGGGGGCACATTACCTGCCCTTCAGGACATCTACAGCACGTGGTGTCACAGGAAGGCCAAGAAGATAATCAAGGACCTCAGCCACCTGAGCCAGAGCCTGTTCACCCCGCTCTAGAAGGCAGAGACAGTACAGGTCATCAAAGCTGGGAACGAGAGACTGATAAACAGCTTCAGTCTCCAAGCCATTAGACTGTTAAACAGTCAGGAATAGCCGGCCTCCACCCAGTACCCTGCCTTGAACCTTAGTCATTAAACAATGTTACATACCGTTTTACCCACTTTATATGTATCAGTGCATTCAGAAAGTATTCAGACCCTTTGACTTTTGACATTTTATTACGTTACAGCCTTATTCTAAAATTGATTAAAATTGTTTTTTCCCCCCTCATCAACTTACACACAATACCCCATAATGACAAAGCCAAATCAGGTAAAACAGGAAAATTGGGTATCAGTATCATGAAACTGGTATTGTGACAACGCCTAGCACTGTGTGATTATTTGTTAATGTACAAGAAGGTGAGAAAAATGTCCTTGCTGGAAGACAATACTATTTTATTGTACCTCGGTCAGTAGCCATGGGTGGTCCTGCGTCAAGCGGTCCCAGTCCGTCTCTGAGGTGACACTGGCGTAGCGGAAGCGGTTCTGCACGGCCGCCGAGGTGCAGATGTGCTTGTAGAGGAATTCCTTCCCCGTCTGCTCTGAGATGGCTTTGGCCGACATGGCGAATCACTGGCTCACTATCTAGCAGAGGGCCTGGCAGGAGAGGGAAGAGGAGGTCAGAAAAGACTCAGGAGCAGTTAGTACCGGTCCACACAGAAGTCCTTGAATTTGTAAGAGGAATGTTACCCTCCTAGAGTCGATTGACACACCGGTGTTTGTCAGACCATGTCATCCCGAAAATCGGTCTTCTCACGAAAACGTATGTAGCGTCCGAAACGGGTTGACCTAAAAACTATTATGACCACTCTATTGAAAGGGGAGACTCTCCGTTTTGGTCTTCGACACCCACATGTCACAGGACTCATCTGAAGATAACCAATACCATTTTTTTTTTTTTTTATGAATTAAAGTATAAAGGTAGTTTTGCACCTACGCCCAAAAAGTAGTTAAATGTGTAAAGAAATATATATATATATACATACATACATATACATATATATTTCATGAGCTTTCTTAAAATCTCCTATATATAGGACAGACACTTCATAACCTTGTTTATTAAGATTTATTTTTTGACTGTCTTTGCCATTTATGAATATGTTATTCAATGCGTTTTTCTGGCCTATAGTAGTAAAGGCCAAATATAATATTTTATCCAAATTTGTTTTAATATTTTGGGGGGGGATACATAAAAGGGTTGTAAAATTCAAAAAAGCTAAATGATCCACGGTAAGACCATCTTAAAACAACTCCATATGTCAGCTTAGAACTACTTCAGGCTCAGGGTTGTTCACCAGTCACCACCTGTTGTGCAGATTGCACTGTGTCAGGGGAAACTCAAGCCTCCATAGCTGCAGAGTATCTGCTTTGTTTGTTCTTGCCTTTTAATTAGTGGCCGATTTTGACCTCAGAAACCAGGGTGCAGATTTATCAATAGCCGGCAGAAGCGAGAGTAGTAGGCTAAATTATTATATGGTGCAGAAAGAGACTACCATCTGACAACATGCGCAAACACTCCATATGAATTTAAAGACAGAGCTGTATGAGAGGATGACAATCAGAATGTGTGTTGTGAGAATAGTGAGCAGCCTGCTGAATATGAAATCCAATATATTGTGTTCAATTTCTCTCCTGATCCTGACCGCAAATGGAATTGTGTACTAATGAAAATATATGCCAAGAACATGTTATAGTTATGTTGTTTCATTTTAGGTCTACTGGTAAATGTAAGACGCGTAAACCTTTTTCTAAATCTGTCCCCAGTTGTGGTTCAATCAAAGGAAAAGAAAACCAGCTGGACTGTCACTCTTTAGGACAGGTGTGATGTTCTTCTGTCTCAAACGTATTATGATGTAACCCCCGCTCTGGTCTGTTTGGAATTTTGATTGGTTTAATTAAGTTGATGGCATGTTAAACCAGGGGGTTTTGGGCTGGCTTTGGGACAATAGCCAAGCTTGCAGACACGACAGCTCTTCAGGAACATGGAGTCCTAAAATACAACCACGTCAAACCCACTAATCAGTGTGGGAACAGCACCCTCCAAGGACACCGCAGGTTGCTTTCCGGAACTAGGCAAAACAAGCAAACACTAGAAAACTGCCAAAACGTCACCACACCGAATGGGAGAAAATCCAGATGTGCAAAGCTGATACAGACATACCCAAAACTACTCGAAGCTGTAATCACCGCCAAAGGTGCTTCTACAAAGTATTGACTCAGGGGTGTGAATACTTATGTCAATGACATATCTGTACTTAATTTTCAATAAATGTTCAAACATTTCTAAAAACGTGTTTTCACATTGTCATTATGGGGTATTGTGTGTAGATGGGTGAGAAAAAAAAATCTATTTAATCATTTTTTAATTCAGGCTGTAACACAAATGTGGAATAAGTCAAGGGGTATGAATACTTTGAGGGTACTGTTACACCGTTTCTTCTAAGTAACTTTTATGACTTGAGAGGCATTTTTAACTGTCTTGGACATTGTCACTTAGCTACAAAGATTTTGGTATTTTATTTTTGGTGTAATTTTACCCCCTTTTCTCCCCAGATCTTGTTTCATCGCTGCAACTCCCCCAACGGGCTTGGGGGAGGCAAAGGTCGAGTCATGCGTCCTCCGAAACATGACCCGCCAAGCCGCACTGTTTCTTAACAACTGCTCGCTTAACCTGCCAGCCTCACCAATGTGTCGGAGGAAACACTGTTCAACTGATGACTGAGGTCAGCTTGCATGCGCCCGGCCCACCACAAGGAATCGCTAGAGCACGATGAGCCAAGGAAAGCCCCCTGGACAAACCCTCCCCTAACCCGGACGACGCTGGGACAATTGTGCGCCGCCCTATGGGACTCCCGTTCACAGCCGGCTGTGACACAGCCTGGGATCGAACCCCAGGCTGTAGTGATGCCTCAACTACAGCCTGGGTGATGCAGTGCCTTAGATCGCTGTGCCACTCGGGAAGCCCAGCTACAATGATTTTTGACACAACACTGACATGAAATAATTTCCAAGTAAAAGATGACTTAATAATTGATTGATTACCGTCATCAGGCATTTGCATAAGCTATGTAGCCATCATCCTTCCCCGACAGAGTCAGCCATAACTTAGCAATAGGTTGCTGTTCATAAATTAATGTCAATATTAAAATCCATGAGACATTATTTGAAATCCTTTATGAGTAAAATATAGTGCACGGGTAAATTACATAATATCAACCCAATCAGGGCCCATAGTAGTGTGGACTGGACAAGCCTACGCTCATCTCTAACGTTTAGATAAAAACAATTCAAAACAGTCCCTTTACAAGTCAGAATGTTGAATAAACCTCATTTGAACTTACTCTACCTGTCTTCCTCTGATTTCATCCTTCTGCTGGAGGAAATTTTAGAAGAAAGTATTATTAAACCGACTTCAAAAAGCAGGTCTCGGTGTATGGCGATCACGATTTGTTTGCTCATCAATAAGGCATGCACACAAGACAGAGGTAAAGGCAAGTAATGCATGCTAACCAAAGTCTAGCAGGTGCTTACATGGTTTTGCACATGTGCCAGGTGATAGAAATATCAAAGGCAGTACCAGCGTTTTCAAAAGTCAATTAATAATACTTTCCTGTGGCTATTGTGTCTCTTAATTTTCCCCCGAATAAGGACCAACCACACAGACAAACGGTAGAGTAAGTTCATATGTAATTTTATTCAACATTCTGGCTGGTAAGGAAACGTTCCAAGTTTTTGCAGTGCTTTACAGGGCTCTACAGAGATACGATTTTACTCGCATATGCGCCTAAATATTTTGCTGTGCGACCTGGAATTGTAATTCAGGAGCACCAGTGCGCCTAGATAAATTAAGGGTTCTAGCTTTAACTTGGAACTGACAGCATTTTAGTAACACGAAATCTATTCAAATCTGTTCAACCCCCAGGAAGTATGACATTTAAAAAAATGTAAAACTAAAAACTGACAAGCAAGCATTTAGATATGGTCATTTCACAAATTTTTAGAATGTTTGGGAATTATGTATCCTAAGACATTTGTGAAAATTCTATAGCAGTATAGAGTGAGAAAGCGGCTGTGCGTTTGGACAATAAAATAAAATAAATTGGTCATTTAGCAGACGCTCTTATCCAGAGCGACATACAGGAGCAATTAGGGTTAAGTGCCTTGCTCAAGGGCACAGACAAATGTTTCACCTAGTCAGCTCGGTGATTAGAACCAGCGACCTTTCGGTTACTGGCACAACGCTCTTAACCACTAAGCTACCTGCCGCCCTATTAGTAGACACTGCAGTAAATAAAACATCTGTCTCGTCCAGGACCGGAGTCTACGCAGACCGGTGGACCCTTGCCAACCAGAGCTACAGTAGGCCTTTATGCAAACAAGCCGTTCGGCACACAGGCCTGCCATCCTTCACTTTGAACTGGACTGTGTGTTTACAGGCAGTTGTAACAGCAAGGCTTTAGAACGTATTCGCCAACCCCCACAAAATACACCTGAATGGATTTCTGCAAATATTTAAATACCATGGGAGTCCTCTTACATTTGGGAACTTTACAGTCCTATTGATCAAACAACCATGAAAAAGGTAGGCTCTCTCTCCCTCAGTTATGCACATCAACAACACCAAAATCAACAACTAATGCTAGCCAGAGCAAGATGAACTAAAATCTAAATGAAGGAACATTAGATAAACCCTCAAACTTTTTCAGCTAGTTGCCCGTCAAAATTGCACAGATAAACGATGGGGAATTGTAGCCTACTCGTCCTTCTGTGCAGCTTGCCTGCAACCAAGCTAACTGGCTAAAGTTGGCTAGCTAGCTACTTCCAGACACAAATAAGAGAACACCTCACTCTGACCATTTTACTCGCCCTAGCAAAGCTGGTTAACTAGGCTGTTTATATGTTATCTAGAGTGTTCGTGACTAACTATTACTTTTTTTTGCATACGTTTACTGACACCGGTCATATTAAGCTGGTTGCGCGTTCGTAAATTCATCAATTATTCTAAACTCTGCTCTGGCACACAGACGAGTGTAATATTCATATGTGTCACCATACTGAATTGTAATTGGATGCATCATACTGTGCAATGATTGGTTAAGACCACCCAGGTGGTGAGGTCATTCTAAGATGATCATGGCCAGAGACACATGGACATGCACGTTATAGCTAGTTAATAAAGAGCTACGTTTATAAATATCCTGTCGTCCTGCATTTTATTATTTTGTACAAAGCGTACAAAACAAGACATGGTGTCAGAGTAAAAGGACTAAAAGATGGATTTTGCTGGAGTTCCTTCACCTCGAATGGATTGGGGGTCTACAAATCTACCCGATGCATGGCGTAAATTCAAACAGCATGTGGAGCTGATGTTCACGGGTCCTCTGAAGGAAAGAGGAGAAGAGGAAAAGTGCAGCTACCTGCTCCTCTGGATCGGTGAAAAAGGGAGAGACATTTACAACACATGGACACTTACCGAGGCTGAATCAAAGGTACTGAAAACATACTACGATCGTTTTGAAGCATATGTTGTGCCAAAGACCAATACAATTTTCGCTAGGTACAAATTCCATGAGAAAGTACAAGGCGCTAGCGAATCGTTTGAACA